GGAAGGAAGCTAGGAAGGAAGGAAGGAGGGAAGGAAGGAAGGAAGGAAGGAAGGAGGGAAGGAAGGAAGGAGGGAAGGAAGGAAGGAAGGAGGGAAGGAAAGGAGTGGGGGCACCACTGGACCTGAACCACCAGCTGAGCTTTAGTTACTGGAAAACATGTTAAAGCCAACGAAGAGCAATTGCAACATAGAGACAAGACGGAAAGCTGTTGGAATATGACTGATGTGAAAAACAAAACCATTACGACTATAAGTACGGCTGCTTTTGTTGCTTTTCTGCTTTTTGCGCCTGCCACGAAATCAATATTTTAAGGTGAACTCCGCGAGGCAAAACCTTCTAACCAATCAAATATGCCTCCTGTGCTAGCTCTCTTTCTCTTTGCTGTTTCTCTGCTGACTGCACCAAACTGTTGTGATAGGTAGGAGTTTCTCTGACACCTACACTATTCCAATGTATTTTGCGTGCCAGCTACGGCAGCTCTCTCCCTGCTAGAGATACCAAACTAGCCTACTCAGCTAGGGATCAATATGAAACCTGCACTATTCCAATGTATTTGGCCAGCTGCGACACCTGCGTCTCTGCTAAGGACACGAAATTGCTGTAATCGCGAAAGCTAGCATGCTAGCTGAGTTCTTCTTTGCTTTAGCAATTGGTAGTGGAATGAGCTGCGTGCCTTAAAGCTTGATATATCACACTAAGGGGGCGGGGCCTGGCCCCCCCACTCTAGCGTGATATATCACGCTAAGGACCCCCCCCTCGCCCCCCGCGGTTCAACTCCCAGCTGCAGGCGTTTTGGCATTAGTGGGGGTGTTGTTACATGTTGGAAATTGTTGGTGTTTTGTTTGGTGTTTTGTTTTCAAAACCAGGATGTCAAAGACATCATGCACTTGGAATTTTGGATGATCCTGGATAGCGGGAACACATGTAATTGCTGGAGAATCAAGATGACACTCATGGGATTTTGCCTGCGTTTTTGCAAAACATCCACTGATTTAGTGTTTGTATTTAGGATTCATTGACGAGCTTTGTCGGAAGCATGGTCAGCTTCGTCGGAGGCATGATCATTTGCTCGTTTTTTCTTGTGGGTGCATCACATAACATTTCGGCTGCGCCTCGTCAGTTGATGAATCTTCATTACCTGAGAGCAAAGTGTTTGAATTTACTGTCTTGGACATGTGTTGTTTGGCAAAATCACGAAAGCTAGCATGCTAGCTGAGTTCTTCTTTGCTTTAGCAATTGGTAGTGGGATGAGCTGTGTGCCTTAAAGCTTGATATATCACGCTAACCCCCCCGCCCACGTTTCGACTCCCAGCTGCGCCGTGTAGCGGGGGTTGGTTGAACGTGTGAACGTGGTTGGTTGGGTGCAAACGGTGGCTTGGTGTAAACGGTGCTGCTGCTGCCGCTCTGCTGCTTGCTGCTGCTGTTTGCTGCTGCCGCTGGTTGCCGCTTTTGTAGCTGCTGCTTTGCTACTTGTTGCGGCTTGATGCTGCTGCTGCTGTTGCTGACGACGCCGCTGCTGCTGCTGCTGCTGCTTGTTGCTGCTTGCTGCTGCTGCTGCTTGCTGCTTGCTGCTGGTGGTGCTGCTGCTGCTGCTGCTGCTGCGGCTTGGTGCTGCGCTGCTGCTGCGTGGTGCTGCTGGAAGGCTGCTGGTTGGTGCTTGCTGCTGGCTGCTGGCTGCTGGCGGCTGCTGCTGCTGCTGGCTGCTGCTTGCTGCATAGGGCTTGCACTTCACTGTTGCAAGTTCTTTACCCCTATTTCTAACCTAATGCATGCATAAGCGGGTGGCAAATTTACCACCCAGGTTTGCTATAACCATACACTGGCTATTTCCTCAAGACACGCTATTCCTGATACCTTTTACCAGTGCTTGTCCTACACTACGGACGCCCTAGTGTATGCACAGTCCTTGTGATGCTTACCCCTCGTTCCGGCTCAACGCATACATAAGCGGGGGGTAAATTTACAGAAGGGATTGTCATGGGGGGTGGGTTTTTAATTCATAGGTTTTTCAATGATTTTCTAGTTAAGGAACATGAAAAGCCTGCAGAGGATCAAAAAAAACAAGAAACAATTTTCTGAGACTTTCGACGAAAATAGAGAAGTCTGCAGAGGACCAAAAAAACCAAAAAAA